AAGTTTTCGTAAGAAAAATTTAATTGAATTACTTTTTTCATGGATGTAATATGCTAGCGTTTTGTGATACAAAGAAAGATTATTTTTTATATAGAATTTCAATGCATTTTATGCATTTAAACTATATTGCATCATGTGAAGTAACAATCTTTACAAATCGATTTATAAAGCTTGCGACACTTGTGATTTTTTTTTTAACTAGATCGCAGGCAAGTTAGAAATATATTATCTACTATTTCTATACTAGTGATATAACATATCTGTCTAGTAATTTACTAGCTTGCGCGCGATGTAGATGGGAAAATACATATCGTGTACATCTAAAAGATGCATGGCATTAAAGATTTATATTATTCTGCTCTTTTTTTTATAGTAACAATTTTTGACAATCAATTATAGTAGATTCTCATATAAAAAGCAAATGAAAGTTACTATAATAGTTCCGCTCTTACATGGAAACATATGCAAGTGCCATCTTTGAATTTTGGATATTTTATAAATAAACAATTCTTTATTTTTATATAAGAATTGGAATTTTTCTTTACAAATAAAATTTGATTTTAATATCATTGAAAACATGAATTATACACAAAGAAAAATTTGGAGAAAACATTTGCATATATTTTCTTGTTAGTAACAAAAGATCATGCTATATCTAAAATGCCGCTTTTAAAGTTAAATATTTGAAATCCTTTTTTTTTGTCTTTGCAATAGCTGCAACAACGAATGCGTCAAGATCTATTGGGAAAGCAAGAGAAGACTCAGAGATCTATAAAACGTCTGGTGGACTTTATAAAACTGATCCAACTCAGAAAAAACACATCCTCTCCACCGTCTTCGGAGTCAATCAGCTGCCCGCTTCAACCTTCCTCATCCCGATCGCAAACAATATCTCCACCTCAAATGTCAACCAATCAGAAGACAACAAGGTCACCTCGGTCTTCGATACCGAACACCGACAAGATACAGTACATCGCAACAATCACATCCTCAACCAGTACTCACGATCGGGCATCACCTATGTCCAAGAAGACGTCCAGGTCTCCAACCCCTACCAATTGTCCAACACCACCGTCCAATCAGAAAAGCATCAATCATATCTCATTGTCAAGAAAATCACCGAGTCGGCTGGAAGGTCCAATCAGTCTTCTAGCGGTGAAGCCGAAGACCAAAACTGCTCCTCAATTTTCAACTACCAATTGCCGACCAGTTGCGGCACTACCATTCAGACCAGTGTCCAACCCGTCATCACCCATTCCCTGTTCTACGATCATAACAACCGTAAGAAACAAGCCAATCGCGCAGTCCCACTCCACCATGTCACCGTATCAAAATTGTCAAATTCTCTTTGCTCCATCCCGAACGACCATCAGCTGGACCGAGCGACCCTCAACGGCAGGAAGCCCTGGGTCAAACTCACACGCGGCAAACTCTGTGTCAATAAATCAAACAGATCAGCCGCAGAAATCTTACTGTCTTCTTACGGCGACGCCGAGAGTAGCGGCAACGAGCAACAACGACCAAGATCAGCCGGATCAGCGGAAGAAGCAACAACAGCAAACGACGGTCGTAATAAATGTAGATCAAGAACCTTCATCCACTCATTGTTCCCAGGCCATAACAAGCCCTATACCGTCACCAATAGTGCACGTGAGTCACGAGGCCCAAACAACCGAGATTGTCCGCTCTTACGACAGCAACTTAGTCGTGAGGAGCACGAATCAGAACTGCACAAGCAACCAGACGACAGTAAGCCAGCAGCAGTCCAGCTCCAACGGCACGCTCTCACGCGGTTCTTCGAGCACGTGAAATTGGAAGAAGCGCATATACCAGCGCCACTTGGAACAAAGCTAGCACATAAGGATGAGGACGGCGATGATGACGGCGACGAGAACGACGAGATTGCCCGGCAGGACAGCCCGCGCAACGAACAGTATGATGACGGTGATGCCATTGCTGAAGCTCCATTGTTGATGTCGCATGATTTGGACGAGGACCGTTTTATCATTCGCGTTCCTTGGCTAGAGCAAAATTCGGAAAACGCTAGTAACAACGACAACATCTCGAGCAAAACACCCGTCCGTCGTCTTTCGGACACAGCCTTGATGCAATCCGGCAAATACACCGATTATGATCTTGCTCGCGTTAACCCGCGACCATCGGTGATTCTACGGCATTCGGCGGAGCGTGAGAACGATCGATCGATGACGGTGGCGGCGGCACTACGCATCGCACAAAGCAATTTTTCGGAGCTTTTTAATGAGGTCTCAGTTCCTGATGATAAGGCTGACACCGAGAGACAAGACTTACCCAGTGGTAGGCGGTTGAGAAGTAGAAGTGATAGCAACAGCAGTAGCAACAGTAGCAGCAGTGGCCACAGTGATACCCCAGAGCAAGCGATGAATGTGAATGATCTCTCGGACGAATTCAATATCCTGGCCATGAGTCTCGTCTCTTCGGAGGAAAGGGGCGTAGAATTGAAGCGACATGAGTCAACGACGGCGAGTGAGGCTGACGCCGCCACTGGCTAGAAATAGTTAGATTAATTATATTAAGGCTCTTGGGTTCTACGTTGAATTATGAACACAATTTAACAACAAGAAACCATGCAAACTTTTTTCTTGCATTGAAATAAATTAAGCTTTATACCATCATTCGCGTTCAATGCAAATTGTTGAATGCATGATAGAAACTTCTTTTTATTATTCTATATTAGTAAAGGTATGTCTGAATAATAATTGGATTTGCGTTCCGTGTGTTCTGTGTTTTCAGCAAAAATTAAGATTCAGTAAAATTAAGATTTATTTATAGATAAAAATATATTTTTTTTTATTTATACTATTGAACGTGTTTGATGTGGTATAAAAGAATTAAAATTTATATTGCAAGGAAAAAAGCCTTAATATTCCAACGTGCTCATTATTCTAATCGTGCTCGGAAATTTGCAATCTTTCGATAACACGTTCGTGTTTCTTGAAGAGGAAAACGGCGCGCATTGCGCGCGAGTCAATCGTCAAAGCATAGCAATTATATCAGTATACGATCGTGTACCCTAAAGATATTTTAACAACGATAGTTCAACGGCATTCTAGAAGTTTTTATGCGGAAACATCAGCACGATTGCGTACCGCACCTCCCAATGAATCGGAGTCTACGATGCGTTGGATGAAAACAACAATGGTATTAATTAGTTTATTTTTTCATCGTTATAAAATTTGTTCCATGATTTTACGATTCAGATATTAGAATAGATTACCTAAGACCAAGTGCGCTTTCTTTCGAGAAAGTTTCGAGAAACTTTTTTTTTGTTTTTCTTATATTTATAATTATTAAAACTTTCTTCGAAAAGAGAATTGCGTTATATCGTAAAGTATTCCTTTCGTTATAAAAATTATGTATAATCAATATACATATACACATATATATATGCGCGCAAAGTCCAGAATCACATGGAACAATTGAAAAACAAAATTGCTAAAATTTCACTTGTGCCAGTATCGATGAATATTGTAGTATTGGATGACAACTTGGTTTCTTCCAGTTATTAATAATCTTGTATATTGCGCTATCATTCTTCGTCAAATTCGCAACGGCAAAACTCGTAACAGAAAATTGACACGATTCTTCACAGGTACAAATGAAATCGAGCGAGTCTAGAGTGATGAATTGATGCCGAATTGAGATTTGAATTTTTCAAATCGATTCTTCCAATATGTTTTATGCGTTTCTGATTAGTTTTCTGAGAGGGATCATCGCTTTACCTATACCATGATTATATACCATGGTTTTTCGAGGGAATCCCGTATATCTCTTCACCGCCACATTTCGTAATTCCGCGACTAGACAAACCGAGCACATATCCGATACGTCGCCGAGATGATTACATCTCGAGATGGTCTCGTAGGACGCGGGAGGAAGCCTATAACTATATTACGTAAATCAAGTCACATTACCATACTGCCTTAATAGTAATGTAAAGTGGTACTTTTTAAAAACCGGCAATTGCGGAAAACTGATTACGCATCCCGGTAAAATGTGAACTGCGATGCGACGCCATCGACGGTCGGGCGATCGTAGAATGAGAGCAATCACGGAGAAGTAATACGATTAATCAAATTCTCGTTACCATAATCGAAAGCGTTAGTTATTAAGGATCGTTTGTAAGTTCCATAAAATGACGCGGTAAAACCGATCGTTCTATTTCTCACGAAAGTTGTATCCTTGCCGATAATAGTTTGTGAGAAGAGAGAGAGTCATGTGTACGCGTGCATGTATGCGTGTATGTATTCGTAAGCGATTATTATAATTTCGTCGATGCGAAACTTCGACGATATTTGACGTTATGTTGATTTTAATTTGTTTATAATTGTTTTTCGTCCGGAGACACAAGGAGAGAGAGCAATGCTGTGATCTTTTGCAGCGTTTCACCTGCAAAAGGGACCGAGATAACAATCATTTGAGAAATATAGTTACTTCGCTACGAAAAACGTTGACGCGCTAGTATTACTTTCGTCGCCCTCCGAAGTTGAATTGCACGAGCCAATTATTCGTCTATTTATTTTATGTTAACGTTAGTTCGCTCGGGTATTAACCGTTGGCTTGCCCAAGGTAATATTAACATTTACACCTAACTAATGTATGTAAAAAAAGAAGGGAAAAAAAGAGAATTGTTATATGCAGCAAGTAGGCACCAAGATATTGAGCTCGAGAGATTCGTATTTTTTATGAAATAAAGACAACTTAAGCAGCATATGTGGACATGTTTTAGTTTGCGGAGAACTCCTCGACCGGACTCGACCGATTCTCCTCGAAACGTTTCGCGCGGAGATCGCGTCTTATCACTTATATCTCGTCATTAACTTTTCACAATTCGGAACGGCATTTCGTCGAATTGCGGATGGATTTCCGCTGAAAAATAGCCAAACTGCGGTGACGCGCGGGAGAAGCGGTGGAGTTATCGACTTGGACAAACAATCGGCTAATGACATGTAAATATAGCGGAGCTAATCAAGCGGCTGTGCCAACAGGCCACGGGAAGAGACGCTGGCGACCCGCTCGCTCGCTCGTAACACGCACACATTCACAAAGAACGAGGGAGGAAGGGAGAGGGCATTCGATATCCTCGATGTATTTGCGGGCCCGACCTGCGCACATGCGTCGCGCTGTACAGCAACGCGCGCGTACATATTTAATGGTTGCACGTTAATTGCGCTCTGTTTGCCCATTCCCCATTCTACGCTCCATCTACACGTCCACCCACATTCTCTTCACCCTTTCCGTGCCGCAATTCTCCTTTGTTAGCGTGCGCCGCGCCGCCGCGGTTCGATTTTAATCAATTCACCTACGGGCACCTACAGCTGGTTCACGCTCGAGATCCCACGCTCGGAAACCTACTTTCGGAGCGCATCATCGTATCGAGGCGGGCGCAGCCGGTTTCCGAGAGAGAGAGAGAGCCGCGTTTCTATCACGTACATACGTATGCCGTAATGCGCGCAGATTTTCCGCGGTCTGTCCGAGGCAAACGCGAGGGAGGATTATTTTTGATCGCGGTTACTTCCAGGTAGCAGCGAAAGACAGAAAGGCGGATATGCCGGCGGAAAGAAACTGTCATCCGGGAAACGCGGATGTGATAAAAAGTGAACTCAAACACGTGCGTTACACAGCGAATAGATATCTTTTGTTGTGTACTTCATAAGTTCTTCTTTAATCATCCTTTTTCCTCTTTTTTCATACTTGATTTTTCGCAATTTGAAACATTAATTTTGAATAAAATCTCGGCTCGTTTTAACATTATCTGCTGTCTGACGATTAATTTGCTTTTGTTGAACAATTTTTAAAGATTCTAGAATATGTAATTTGCCAATTTTTTAAATATAATCGTAAATCGTCACGTCGGGTTCGCGATAGTATAGAAAAACGTAAAAGCTAACACATTATTGTTCAAAGTTCTTTAATTATCTCGCTTTAAGCTATAAAAGGGCTGAATAAGGAAAGTGCTGTACTTTTGTGTCAATAGAAAGAAGAAGAACGAGAGCGGGGGTCTTTCTAAATACACTTTTTACGCCGGTTTTCTCTTTCTCTTGCTCTCCAACCAAGGCGCGTGTGCGCGCTTGCTTTATGAAACGAGCGCTTCTAATTAGAAAATTCTTTCGAGTATATTTTCTGTTTCTCTCTTCTTTCTGTGCCAGTGGGAAAAAAAAGAATGAAGTCATTGAACTGCACGTTTTACATGTACTTACTGTAAAATTAGTACACTCCATCCTAAGATTACGATTATTTTCGAATGACCTCTCTCTCTCCCTCTCTCTCTCTCTCTCTCTCTCTCTCTCTAAAATTTTTATTTCGACATTTCTTCCTTTATCGCGAAGAAAATGTTGCAACATCCAGCTGCGGTTGAGATAATTGAGAAATATTTTTTTTCCTCGATTTTTTTATCTTTGACGCGCGTCCAATGTTCAAGTAGAAGTAAATTCGTCTCTTGGGGACAGCTAGAAAATAGATTTTGGATATTGCACGCGATTGGAATGCGAACTGAAAAAAGATTGTCTCACAGCCTGACGAAGTCAAGGATCGAAACACAGGCGCGCCTTCCACGTGAATTCAATTTCCGAGCTCGTAAACAGGCGCGAGAGGACTTCGCGCCGCGGAGATAAACGCGGAGATTACTTTTCGCACGATCGTAGCGTGTTGAGAATCGAGATTGAGATTCGCACTCGTTGAAATCCGCGAAAGTGCCGAATAATTCGTTCCCCGAGACGGTTCGCCCGCCCAAAGTCGATTCAATCGCGAGGAGCGATCGCTTGAAAGTTCGGACGCGGGTACGATCGAATTTTCCTTCTTTTCTTCTTTTCTCGCTGGAGATTGCGCGCTCGTTACGCGCCTCGCTGGGATCCTGACGTTAATTGTCCGTTAAGCGGGTCGGAGCGCGTGTCGTTGTTCCACAGGAGGCCCGCATGGAGGTTGACGAGCATCCCCGGATCGAGAGGCGGGCGTCGAGAGACAAACGAACGTGCAGAGATGGTGGGCAGGGGGGCGAAACGGGGGAGAGGTGGTTCCAAAGAAATTTTAATCAAGCCGCTTTGCGTGTGGGAGTGGATGCGTTCGCGTGTTGCGTGTATGAGCGCGCGCGCGCGCGCGCGCCTCCAGTTCCGTGGTAAATTACACATACAGGTTCCATTACCGGACCTCGTTACTTCGGAATCGAAAGCCTCGGCGTCTCTCCCGGCCACCGCGACGCTTCCCGAGCCACGAGGAATCGATATCCTTCCGATAGCGCGGACTATCGGGCGCCGTGTTGAGCGAACGCTCGGACGCGAGTGTGAAAGTTACATCGAGAATGGGAACGTCGTTTTTTAAAACCACGCGAGGATTGACGGATAGTGGACTGACACGAGAGAGAAAAACTTGTTAAGCGTCGATTACGCGTTCCGCTCCCCCAATGAACCCGACCTGAAAATTATTTAACAGATTTAATAGGTGCGGTATACGAAATAAAACGTTGGTCCCGGGAAAAGTCGGAGTTGTTCTCGGAAAAGAAAGGCGTATCGGCCGTAACGGGAGAAAACGAAGGCGGAGACAGCTCCCTACATCCTTTACAATCCTTTAACGATGACACATTACTTCCGAGCCTTCCCAATGGTCGCAATTCCGGCTACGTTACTGTCACTTAGCGAGCGGAGTCGCGAATCTGTCTCGAAGGAGACCGGCAGGTAATCTTCTCTCGAGATTCGCCCCGAAAAGCGAAGTCTTGCACGACGTGGAAGCCTCAGCACACATTTGCATCCTTTTTTACGTTTGGATAATTTAAAGAGGATAATGATATTATTAGAGAAAATGTAATCCATTTATTTGTATAAGAATCTTTTTGTTATAGAATAATAAAGCTACTTGTGTATAATAATCATGAGAAAGAATCATGAGTAGAATGCTGTGGATGTTTTTCTCGAAACATCCGCAGCATTCTACTTTTTGTGTTGCATTCGTCTTATTTTGAAATCTTACAGAAATTGGCATAAGATATTTAAATATAAATCTTTTCTCTCTGCTTTATATATATATATATATATACATTTTTTTTAATTTTCGTCATTTAATACCTGTATGATTCGACTTTGTTACAAATAAGACACGATTAAACTAAATTGAAATTAAATTACGTAAATTAATTTGCGAGAGAAGTCATTTCGAGACTTCTCATTGACTCGCAATTCTCGAAGAAGAACCTTTCAACTCTCCGGATTCACGTTTATGGAAAGCTCTCTTCGCATTTTTGAATTCACAACGCAATCCCGAAGTTTGTGCATATATTGTTTTTTTCGCATCCTGTGAGAGTCCTTCGAAAAGAATGTTCGCTTACTTCGCGCACGGCCATTGCAAATTGCGAGGGATAGCCAAGGTGAGAGCGTACCTGCAACGTCTCGAAGCCATTTACGAAGTTTTTCTGAGGATAACCGCGCGGCTAGCGGGGGTAGTAGGATGGATAAGAACGACCAGAGAGAAGATAAGGGTGTGGGTGAAGATACGGGAGTCCTTAGTGGTGTCGCCGTCGTCGTCGTTCTCGTTGTCGTTGCCGTCGTCCCTCTCTCTTTCCGCTCCGTTCCCTCCCCGGTGCAGGCAAGTGCGACCGATGAGACGTCCGGAGGACCGGCGAACGGTTAGTTAAGGAACACGAGAAAGCACTTCTGGATCACTCTCAGCGCTCGCGTCCCTCCTCCGCGAGCAACGTCTCGGATACGGAGATACGATCGACTCCTCTCTCCCCATAGATATCATCTCGTGCATATAATACGTCAATTTCACACCCTCGTCGCGCGAGGCGTCGCCCTGACACGCGCGTGGCAAAAGATCTGTCCGTCTTATTATACTTTAACACCGCGTGTATATCCGCAAGCGCTTCCATTTTCCGGCAAGAAGTTATCTCATCTTTCTCGCGCAAGAGACGAGTCATCCGGGTAAATAACTTTATTCTTTTCGCTCGCTTTTATTTTCGAATCTCGAACTGGTGGATTTTTTTGGGGAGCTTCCGAGACACGTTATCCCAGACAACAAATCCCCGTTATTTCAGACAACAAATCGGCATTACGTCGAAATTAGATATCGCTAAAAATTTACGATGCAATCTTTGAGATTTTATATTTGCTGACAACCACCGCGGCCATGGAGTTACGAGTATACCGTCGAGTATACACGGGAATAAATCGCGAAGAGTGTTGAGCTCTCTCTCTTTCATTCTCTCTCTCTCTCTCTCTCTCTCTCTCTCTCTCTCTCTTTCACCGAAGAAGGATTCTCCGGCGAAGAGAATCCACCTTCGTCTCATTCTTTCTCGTTCTGCCGGCGGGTTTTTCTGCCGGCGGCCTGCGCCTTTTTCACGCGAAACCGAACTCAGAAGCGATGCATCATAATCAGGCGGTCAACTTACTTAGTCTGGAGTGCTGCGCGCTTAAGTTAATTAGCTAATTACTAATTTTAATCGGATGACGTATGCGCATCTCGGGGGATACAAGCAAACCCTCTTAGCTGGGGATAGCTCACCTCCCCCTGCCTCCTCGTGCACTCTCACACAAACACACATCCACATATACACGTTTCCTCTCTCTTTCTCTCTCTCTCTCTCTTCTTCTCCTTCTCCTTTCGACTTCGCTATCCCCTGTCGTATACGTCCGACGGGCAATTCCATGGTCTAAGTAATTTAACTAAAACTTCTCGGACATTTTTCCAGCATTTTCGAGCGTCGAGACTCTTTCTTTTTCCC